CTTGGCTTGCAGATCACCCGGGACAGAGCACAGCGCACCATTACCCTGACTCAGTCACACATGGTGCAGCAGGTCCTTCAGCGCTTCGACTTCACGTACTCCTCGCCTCAGGCCACTCCTCTGTCTACTCGCCACTCGCTCTCAGCTCTGCCTTCGGATGAGTCCGTAGAGCCGAGTGGCCCGTACCCAGAGCTTGTTGGCTGCCTCATGTACCTGATGACCTGCACACGACCTGACCTTGCATACCCTCTTAGCATCTTGGCACGCTATGTTGCTCTTGGGAGACACCGACCAGAGCACATGGCTGCAGCGAAGAGGGTGTTGCGCTACTTGTGCAGTACGTCGGGCATGGGGCTAGTGCTTGGAGGGCGACGTCCAGTGGTCCTCACAGGTCACGCAGACGCTTCTTGGGCTGACGACCAGGCTACGCAGCGGTCGTCACAGGGTTACACCTTCAGCCTTTGTTCCGGCTCTGTTTCGTGGCGGTCTACCCGCTCGTCTTCTGTTCTCGGCTCCAGCTGTGAGGCTGAGATCTACGCGGGGGCCATGGCTGCACAGGAGCTACGCTGGCTCACCTACCTGCTGACTGACCTAGGAGCGCCGCCTCGTTCTCCTCCAGTTCTGTACGTAGACAACAAGGCCATGCTGGCCTTGTGTCGGGAGCACAGACTGGAGCACAGAACGAAGCACATTGCTCTTCGCTACTTCCTTGCTCGTGAGCTACAGCAGCGTGGTCAGCTGCGCCTTGCTTACGTGGCCTCTGAGGCCAACACTGCTGATATCTTTACCAAGGCACTTCCGCCTTGTGATCATCAGCGCTTCTGTACGATGCTAGGTCTTGTGCCTACTTGGCCTCACTTGCTCACTTCTTGACCTTGCTTGTACTGTGATCTTTCTATACCTGCACTTGCTTGTTTACCTTTATATATGATCTTGCATGTGAACTGGCCTTGTGGCCTTGAACTTGTGCTCGGAATGTGTGGTGACGTTGTGATCCACCCTGAGCTTGCTTTGCTTTGCTTGACTGGTCTTCTGACCTCTTGTTCTCCCCCACTCTGCCTATGGGGGTGTGTCAAACTTATATACTATGGTCTATCTAGGCTGTAGTGGGGTAGACACTATAGGGTACAACATTTCTAGGTTTCCTACTTGTACCCACCTGCTTGCTAGTTCATTCATCCCTCATTTCTTCACAGCAACATCAACACCAATCGCTGGCCCCTCAACGGCACCGGCTCCCGTCGACGATTCGCCACCGACACCCGCACAGCAACTAAAACCGACTCCACGAGAAGTCCATCGGAGCGCCAACCTCACCGCCAGCTTCTACTCCAACTCCGACACATATCGGCGCTCACCCGGAGACCGCGCCACCGAAGATATCTGGCACGCACGAATGGGACATCCAAGCAACACAGTGTTAAACAACAAAATCAGAGCATGCGTGCTCGACAAAGACTCACTGCTTCTAACTGACAGGAACGAACTTCGACGAGCTCGCGGAACGTGCTTTACCCGCCCCGAAGCTGACTTACCACATCGGCCGTTCGTTCCTCACCACAACCCAAGCGCACCAGCTTACGCACCATTCGAGAAAGTGTACAGCGGCATCCTGTACAATTGGGAACCCGGACAAGGAGCATATAACTTCACCATCACGTTCATCGACGCCGCCACTCGCTACGTCTGGCACCTCAACCTTACAAGCCGTGACATGGCCTTCGAAGCCTTCGTTGCCTGGCTTCCAGTAGCAGAGCGAGAATCGTGAGTGAAGCTAAAGAGCTTCCAGTCAGACGGAGGAGGAGAATACACCTCACAGAGGTTCAAGCAGTACCTGGCAGAAAGGGGAATCAAGCGGCTCATCTCCCTTCCCTACGCCCACCAACAGCAAGGCGTAGCAGAAAGAATGAACAGGACTCTCCAGAACACCATGCGCAAGCTGTTACGTGGCATGCGGCTTCCCAACCACCAATGGCCTGAAGCAATGGACCACGCCGTCATGCTGCACAACTTGCTCTCGTCATTATCGCTCCCAAACAACGCATCACCGCATCTGTTGTGGACAAGAAAACAGGGCAGCACAAAAATGTTGAGAGTTTTTGGTTGCATGGTACAGTACCGACCCCCAGCTGCACGAGCCGGCCAATTCTCCCAACGCGCACAATGGGAACTACACCTTGGCATCAAAAAGAATTACAACGCGTGGAAGATTTTTGACATCCACTCAAAGGAAACAGTAGCAGCACGTGATGTGATTTTCTACGAGCGACTCACACTTCCGACGTACCTTGCCAACCTGGAAGAAGACCGAGACCCCACAGGTAGTTTTCATGGTGACCGAGCCTTCGCCTCGGCAGCAGACAAAGCTGACTGGGATGAGCAGAACGTGGATGAAGCCTCAGAGGAAGCCGGACCTCTCCCTTACTGCTCCGTCGACGTCCCAATGGATGACGAAAATCCTCGCGAAAGCGCCAACGCCGAAACTTACAATCACTTCGCCGACAACGGTTACGTTACACCTGCAACAGTCAACACCAACGAAGCAGAACGCGTAGGACCCAATTTCATACCTGACCCAGACGCAGGAGACGAAGCAGCTTATCCCGAGGATACCACACTCCCTCGCTGCACACAGAGTGGCCTCCAGATACTTGGTCTCGTCACCGCGGTCCACGGCACGGCGATTCTTTAGGAGCCTGCCACAGTTCAGCAGGCTCTGGGGGGGGAGCATAGGGAGAAATGGCGCGAAGCCATGGATTGGGAACTGAAAGCGCTGGAGGAACGAAACACCTGGAAGGTCGTTCCCATCAGCGTGGCACGCAACAAAACGGCACTCACCGGGAAATGGGTTTTCCGTGTGAAGACAAAGGCAGACGGCACCATCGACAAGTTTAAGGCGCGCTGGGTCGTGCGAGGTTTCGACCAGGAGCACGGACACGATTTTACCGAGACGTTCGCCCCGGTCAGCCGACACACCTCACTTCGCATTCTCCTCGTGATCGCCGCCATGAAGAAGAAGAAGCTGCGGCAAATTGACGTCGCCAATGCAATCCTCTACGCACCTGTTGACGCCAAAAATTTTGTCGAGCTACCACACGGCTCCAACGGAGAACCGAACCAAGTCTGCCAATTATTGAAGTCTCCATATGGCATTAAGCAGGCTCCGCGACTGTGGCAGTAGTACCTACACGCCCGACTCATTCGCATCGGATTCCGACAGCTACCGCACGACCAGGGCATGTATCGACTCACAAAGGGCACTGACTTCATTCTGCTCATCGTCTACATAGACGACCTACTTTACATCGGTTCGACCGACGGAATCACAACCTGGTTCGAAGGGGAGCTGCAACAAGACCTCACGCTTACGGTCTCATCTACCGTGACGCAATACCTTGGGCTCAACATTCAAGAAGAAGAGAATGCGATCTACCTCAGCGCCGCAAAATACACCGACACTATCGCCAAGCGTTTTGGACTAACTCCAGTCGCCATTTCCACACCGCACCGCTACACCGCAGGGAATCACAAGGAAGGCTCCGCTCTACTCAAACCCGCTGGCATGCGCGACTACCAACGAAAGCTAGGATGTCTGCTCTTCGCAGCTGTCATCTGCCATCCGGATTTATCGTACTCTGCGAGTCAACTCGCCACCTATCTCAAAAGGCCCGAAGCAGAACACATGGCGGAGCTCGACCGCGCTCTTCACTACCTCGTTAGCACTCCGACGATCGGCTTGACTTATCACAAAAACGGAACCATGACACCTAAATTAATCGGCTATGTCGACGCAGATCACGCCGGCAACCCCGACAACAGGCGTTCACGCACCGGCTACATTTACCGCTTCGAACCTATCGGACCTATCTCATGGCAGTCGAGCAATCAGGAACTAAATGCTCTCTCCTCAGCTGCAGCAGAATATATTGCACTTTGCTCAGCCACCAAGGAAGGACTTTACCTTCGCGAACTGCTGGAAGAGGCGAAATTGGCCCAGTTACCCAGCTTCTCTCTGTTCTGCGACAACCAGTCTGCAATTCGCATCGCCAACAAAAATGGATTCGCGAACAGGACGAAGCAAATCGCACTGCGATACTTCTTCGTGAAGGACGAGATCGAGAAGGGGAGACTCGAGCTGTCCTACTGCCCCACGTCTGAGATGGCAGCTGATTACTTGACCAAGAAACTCGGAAAGCAGAAGTTCGAGTACTGCATGCTGCTGACTGGACAAGGCCACGTCACCAGCAACGACACTCCAGAAGCGAAGGGGAGTGTTGGAAACAAGTAATTTAAGCGCCTCTGTCGTGTCGAAACACTAAGTCGTAAACGAAGCGAAGTACAGTGAAACATCGGCGAGTCAACCCTCGGGAGTTGAACAACTGATGGAGGTTACGCGAAAGTCAAAGGTCAGCGACCTTTGACCTGACAAATACAGCGCGACAGCAAGGACAAACAACTGACTCGTTATTGAGCAGTTGCCCGAGTCGTCACTGTATCGAACCGCAACAGCAAACAGTAAAGCGGTTATTAACTGTTTCTCTTCATATTCCTTGTACTCTTATAAAAACTTGTATCTTCCTGTTTTCAATCAATCTACTTTGCCCTCACATACCAGCGCAAGGTGGTTCACAAACTTGTCATTAAACGCTTCCGCTATTACATTGTTCCTACTCAGAGTTTAGTCCTGTGAAAGATCCTAAGGGCTTTTATCAGCCCAACACTGTAAACGTAACCACTACAAAATATGTATTAACCCTGCAGCTGAGAGTGCTGCAGCAAGCTCCTGAGCCACTATCGGCTTCCTCACTGCTCCATCCATCCCCGCCTCTAAGCATGCTCTCTTGATCCCTGCATCCAAGTCCGCAGTCAATGCTATTATGCAAAGCCGCTGTTTTGATGCATCATCTACCCTCGTATCGGCTACTTCACATATCTCTGTTGCATTCGTTTCCACTTTCATCTGCTGAGCATTTTCCATAGCACGCACTCGACGAGCCGTTTCAAATCTGGAAGCATGCAATGTTGGCAACATAAGGAATACGGGGCCAGAGACGGGAAAAGAAGTACGCACAGAAATGCATGGAGAAAAAATACATATATATATATATATAAATACATATACATATATACAAAGCATACGGTGAGACATGCTCAAGACAAGAGAAAATAGGGTTCGGCGAACAGAAAACGATGTACCGCATCACTACTACAATGCAGAGAGGTCGTAGCACGAAGGAGAGTTGAAGGAAAGGTAAAAAAGAGGTTAGAGAGAGGTGCAGGAGAGGGGGAGCACGGCACAGACCCGTCGATGCCGGGCGGCATGTGGAGGTCGAGGAGCAGCAGGTGGATGGGCGGGGAGGGCGTGGCAGAGGAGAGCGCTTGCAGCGCGTCCTCCCCGGAGGGGAGCAGCAGCACGTGCGCCCCGTAGCCCTGCAGCGTTCTGCGCGCCACCATGCGGTTCACCGCGTTGTCATCCACCACCGCCACCCCCCTCCCCGCCACCACCCCCCGCACCACCCGCTCCGCCTCCCCCACAACCCTCTCCAACTCCGCTTCTGGGAATGTTCGTGCGCGCACCAGCGGCGAGGCTGGTTGCGTCGCGGCTGCTTGTTGTGGCGGCGAAGTTGGTTGCAAAGCGGCAGCAGCGTGAGGGAGAGAGTGAGGGAGAGCCGCGGCAGCACTGGCTGGCCCCTCCGTGCCTCCCTGTGATTCGCTTTCTTGCTCCACACGCTCCTCACCAGCCTGTGCTGACTTGCCAGCTTCCTCACCACTCCCATCTCCCACTCCCGTGCTGCTGGCGGCCTTCTGTTCCCCCATGGGCAGCGCCAGCAGAATGGTGGTGCCTGTGGCGGCGTCTGACAGCACTGCCATGCCCCCCCGCATCTCCGCTACCTGCCATGCCATGCAGGGGAAAAGAAGAAAGGGAAGAGGGAGATGAGAGAAAAGAAGAGGTTGGGCCAGCACTGCCATGCCCCCCCGCATCTCCGCCACCTGCCGTGCCATGCGGAGAGAAGGGAGAGGCAGGGGAGGGAATAAAGGAAGACGATAAGCGTGAATGAATTCAAGTCAGAAATGATGGAAGGCTGAAGACAACAAGCATGTGAGAAAGCAGAAGAGATGTATGAGTACTGAGAATTGACCGGGAGGGCAGGAAGCGACCAAGGGTACAAATTCCTTGTAAATATTTGTTTACAGACCTACGGATGTGCTAGGGAACTCACAAGGAAGGTAGAGACCAGAAGCTCACAAGGGAGGTGGAGAGCAGGAAGCTCACAAGGGAGGTGGAGAGCAGGAAGCGAACAGGGTAGGGCGTCCAGCGGGGGCCAGCAGCTGCCTTGCGATCGCGCTGCATCGGATCCCACGTGCTGCGCTCCCTCTGCCGCCACGATGGCGACTTCACCAGGCCCTTCCATGACTCTGCCCTCCCCAGCGACCGTATTCTCTCCTGCCAAATCAGAACCAGGAATTTGCAAGCGAATGAATTTTGAGTCGACTCAAAACTCCCCAGGCTCTTCCATGACCCCGCCCTCCCCAGCGACCGGATTCTCTCCTGCCAATCAACAACCGAGGAAAGGAAGGGTTAGCAGACCAAACGCGAGCGGCAGTTTGACCGTGAGAGCTATGATGGCATTCCATGAGTCTGCCCTCCCCTCCCCAGTGACCGTATCCTCTCCTGTGTCAATTCGTCGTTGCCCTCTCAGTTCGCACAGCCCTAGAATGTGATCCCTCCTGAACCAGTAACGAGTCCGCACTCCTTGTAACGAGTCCGCACTCCTTGTAACGAGTCCGCACTCCTTGTAACGAGTCCGCACTCCTTGTAACGAGTCCGCACTCCTTGTAACGAGTCCGCACTCCTTGTAACGAGTCCGCACTCCTTGTAACGAGTCCGCACTCCTTGTAACGAGTCCGCACTCCTTGTAAAGAGTCCGTACTCCTTGTAACGAGTCCGCACTCCTTGTAACGAGTCCGCACTCCTTGTAACGAGTCCGCACTCCTTGTAACGAGTCCGCACTCCTTGTAACGAGTCCGCACTCCTTGTAACGAGTCCGCACTCCTTGTAACGAGTCCGCACTCCTTGTAACGAGTCCGCACTCCTTGTAACGAGTCCGCACTCCTTGTAACGAGTCCGCACTCCTTGTAACGAGTCCGCACTCCTTCCTTGTAACGAGTCCGCACTCCTTCCTTGTAACGAGTCCGCACTCCTTGTAACGAGTCCGCACTCCTTGTAACGAGTCCGCACTCCTTGTAACGAGTCCGCACTCCTTGTAACGAGTCCGCACTCCTTGTAACGAGTCCGCACTCCTTGTAACGAGTCCGCACTCCTTGTAACGAGTCCGCACTCCTTGTAACGAGTCCGCACTCCTTGTAACGAGTCCGCACTCCTTGTAACGAGTCCGCACTCCTTGTACGGAGTCCGCACTCCTTGTAACGAGTCCGCACTCCTTGTAACGAGTCCGCACTCCTTGTAACGAGTCCGCACTCCTTGTAACGAGTCCGCACTCCTTGTAACGAGTCCGCACTCCTTGTAACGAGTCCGCACTCCTTGTAACGAGTCCGCACTCCTTGTAACGAGTCCGCACTCCTTGTAACGAGTCCGCACTCCTTGTAACGAGTCCGCACTCCTTGTAACGAGTCCGCACTCCTTGTAACGAGTCCGCACTCCTTGTAACGAGTCCGCACTCCTTGTAACGAGTCCGCACTCCTTGTAACGAGTCCGCACTCCTTGTAACGAGTCCGCACTCCTTGTAACGAGTCCGCACTCCTTGTAACGAGTCCGCACTCCTTGTAACGAGTCCGCACTCCTTGTAACGAGTCCGCACTCCTTGTAACGAGTCCGCACTCCTTGTAACGAGTCCGCACTCCTTGTAACGAGTCCGCACTCCTTGTAACGAGTCCGCACTCCTTGTAACGAGTCCGCACTCCTTGTAACGAGTCCGCACTCCTTGTAACGAGTCCGCACTCCTTGTAACGAGTCCGCACTCCTTGTAACGAGTCCGCACTCCTTGTAACGAGTCCGCACTCCTTGTAACGAGTCCGCACTCCTTGTAACGAGTCCGCACTCCTTGTAACGAGTCCGCACTCCTTGTAACGAGTCCGCACTCCTTGTAACGAGTCCGCACTCCTTGTAACGAGTCCGCACTCCTTGTAACGAGTCCGCACTCCTTGTAACGAGTCCGCACTCCTTGTAACGAGTCCGCACTCCTTCCTTGTAACGAGTCCGCACTCCTTGTAACGAGTCCGCACTCCTTGTAACGAGTCCGCACTCCTTGTAACGAGTCCGCACTCCTTGTAACGAGTCCGCACTCCTTGTAACGAGTCCGCACTCCTTGTAACGAGTCCGCACTCCTTGTAACGAGTCCGCACTCCTTGTAACGAGTCCGCACTCCTTGTAACGAGTCCGCACTCCTTGTAACGAGTCCGCACTCCTTGTAACGAGTCCGCACTCCTTGTAACGAGTCCGCACTCCTTGTAACGAGTCCGCACTCCTTGTAACGAGTCCGCACTCCTTGTAACGAGTCCGCACTCCTTGTAACGAGTCCGCACTCCTTGTAACGAGTCCGCACTCCTTGTAACGAGTCCGCACTCCTTGTAACGAGTCCGCACTCCTTGTAACGAGTCCGCACTCCTTGTAACGAGTCCGCACTCCTTGTAACGAGTCCGCACTCCTTGTAACGAGTCCGCACTCCTTGTAACGAGTCCGCACTCCTTGTAACGAGTCCGCACTCCTTGTAACGAGTCCGCACTCCTTGTAACGAGTCCGCACTCCTTGTAACGAGTCCGCACTCCTTGTAACGAGTCCGCACTCCTTGTAACGAGTCCGCACTCCTTGTAACGAGTCCGCACTCCTTGTAACGAGTCCGCACTCCTTGTAACGAGTCCGCACTCCTTGTAACGAGTCCGCACTCCTTGTAACGAGTCCGCACTCCTTGTAACGAGTCCGCACTCCTTGTAACGAGTCCGCACTCCTTGTAACGAGTCCGCACTCCTTGTAACGAGTCCGCACTCCTTGTAACGAGTCCGCACTCCTTGTAACGAGTCCGCACTCCTTGTAACGAGTCCGCACTCCTTGTAACGAGTCCGCACTCCTTGTAACGAGTCCGCACTCCTTGTAACGAGTCCGCACTCCTTGTAACGAGTCCGCACTCCTTGTAACGAGTCCGCACTCCTTGTAACGAGTCCGCACTCCTTGTAACGAGTCCGCACTCCTTGTAACGAGTCCGCACTCCTTGTAACGAGTCCGCACTCCTTGTAACGAGTCCGCACTCCTTGTAACGAGTCCGCACTCCTTGTAACGAGTCCGCACTCCTTGTAACGAGTCCGCACTCCTTGTAACGAGTCCGCACTCCTTGTAACGAGTCCGCACTCCTTGTAACGAGTCCGCACTCCTTGTAACGAGTCCGCACTCCTTGTAACGAGTCCGCACTCCTTGTAACGAGTCCGCACTCCTTGTAACGAGTCCGCACTCCTTGTAACGAGTCCGCACTCCTTGTAACGAGTCCGCACTCCTTGTAACGAGTCCGCACTCCTTGTAACGAGTCCGCACTCCTTGTAACGAGTCCGCACTCCTTGTAACGAGTCCGCACTCCTTGTAACGAGTCCGCACTCCTTGTAACGAGTCCGCACTCCTTGTAACGAGTCCGCACTCCTTGTAACGAGTCCGCACTCCTTGTAACGAGTCCGCACTCCTTGTAACGAGTCCGCACTCCTTGTAACGAGTCCGCACTCCTTGTAACGAGTCCGCACTCCTTGTAACGAGTCCGCACTCCTTGTAACGAGTCCGCACTCCTTGTAACGAGTCCGCACTCCTTGTAACGAGTCCGCACTCCTTGTAACGAGTCCGCACTCCTTGTAACGAGTCCGCACTCCTTGTAACGAGTCCGCACTCCTTGTAACGAGTCCGCACTCCTTGTAACGAGTCCGCACTCCTTGTAACGAGTCCGCACTCCTTGTAACGAGTCCGCACTCCTTGTAACGAGTCCGCACTCCTTGTAACGAGTCCGCACTCCTTGTAACGAGTCCGCACTCCTTGTAACGAGTCCGCACTCCTTGTAACGAGTCCGCACTCCTTGTAACGAGTCCGCACTCCTTGTAACGAGTCCGCACTCCTTGTAACGAGTCCGCACTCCTTGTAACGAGTCCGCACTCCTTGTAACGAGTCCGCACTCCTTGTAACGAGTCCGCACTCCTTGTAACGAGTCCGCACTCCTTGTAACGAGTCCGCACTCCTTGTAACGAGTCCGCACTCCTTGTAACGAGTCCGCACTCCTTGTAACGAGTCCGCACTCCTTGTAACGAGTCCGCACTCCTTGTAACGAGTCCGCACTCCTTGTAACGAGTCCGCACTCCTTGTAACGAGTCCGCACTCCTTGTAACGAGTCCGCACTCCTTGTAACGAGTCCGCACTCCTTGTAACGAGTCCGCACTCCTTGTAACGAGTCCGCACTCCTTGTAACGAGTCCGCACTCCTTGTAACGAGTCCGCACTCCTTGTAACGAGTCCGCACTCCTTGTAACGAGTCCGCACTCCTTGTAACGAGTCCGCACTCCTTGTAACGAGTCCGCACTCCTTGTAACGAGTCCGCACTCCTTGTAACGAGTCCGCACTCCTTGTAACGAGTCCGCACTCCTTGTAACGAGTCCGCACTCCTTGTAACGAGTCCGCACTCCTTGTAACGAGTCCGCACTCCTTGTAACGAGTCCGCACTCCTTGTAACGAGTCCGCACTCCTTGTAACGAGTCCGCACTCCTTGTAACGAGTCCGCACTCCTTGTAACGAGTCCGCACTCCTTGTAACGAGTCCGCACTCCTTGTAACGAGTCCGCACTCCTTGTAACGAGTCCGCACTCCTTGTAACGAGTCCGCACTCCTTGTAACGAGTCCGCACTCCTTGTAACGAGTCCGCACTCCTTGTAACGAGTCCGCACTCCTTGTAACGAGTCCGCACTCCTTGTAACGAGTCCGCACTCCTTGTAACGAGTCCGCACTCCTTGTAACGAGTCCGCACTCCTTGTAACGAGTCCGCACTCCTTGTAACGAGTCCGCACTCCTTGTAACGAGTCCGCACTCCTTGTAACGAGTCCGCACTCCTTGTAACGAGTCCGCACTCCTTGTAACGAGTCCGCACTCCTTGTAACGAGTCCGCACTCCTTGTAACGAGTCCGCACTCCTTGTAACGAGTCCGCACTCCTTGTAACGAGTCCGCACTCCTTGTAACGAGTCCGCACTCCTTGTAACGAGTCCGCACTCCTTGTAACGAGTCCGCACTCCTTGTAACGAGTCCGCACTCCTTGTAACGAGTCCGCACTCCTTGTAACGAGTCCGCACTCCTTGTAACGAGTCCGCACTCCTTGTAACGAGTCCGCACTCCTTGTAACGAGTCCGCACTCCTTGTAACGAGTCCGCACTCCTTGTAACGAGTCCGCACTCCTTGTAACGAGTCCGCACTCCTTGTAACGAGTCCGCACTCCTTGTAACGAGTCCGCACTCCTTGTAACGAGTCCGCACTCCTTGTAACGAGTCCGCACTCCTTGTAACGAGTCCGCACTCCTTGTAACGAGTCCGCACTCCTTGTAACGAGTCCGCACTCCTTGTAACGAGTCCGCACTCCTTGTAACGAGTCCGCACTCCTTGTAACGAGTCCGCACTCCTTGTAACGAGTCCGCACTCCTTGTAACGAGTCCGCACTCCTTGTAACGAGTCCGCACTCCTTGTAACGAGTCCGCACTCCTTGTAACGAGTCCGCACTCCTTGTAACGAGTCCGCACTCCTTGTAACGAGTCCGCACTCCTTGTAACGAGTCCGCACTCCTTGTAACGAGTCCGCACTCCTTGTAACGAGTCCGTACTCCTTGTAACGAGTCCGCACTCCTTGTAACGAGTCCGCACTCCTTGTAACGAGTCCGCACTCCTTGTAACGAGTCCGCACTCCTTGTACGGAGTCCGCACTCCTTGTAACGAGTCCGCACTCCTTGTAACGAGTCCGCACTCCTTGTAACGAGTCCGCACTCCTTGTAACGAGTCCGCACTCCTTGTAACGAGTCCGCACTCCTTGTAACGAGTCCGCACTCCTTGTAACGAGTCCGCACTCCTTGTAACGAGTCCGCACTCCTTGTAACGAGTCCGCACTCCTTGTAACGAGTCCGTACTCCTTGTAACGAGTCCGCACTCCTTGTAACGAGTCCGCACTCCTTGTAACGAGTCCGCACTCCTTGTAACGAGTCCGCACTCCTTGTAACGAGTCCGCACTCCTTGTAACGAGTCCGCACTCCTTGTAACGAGTCCGCACTCCTTGTAACGAGTCCGCACTCCTTGTAACGAGTCCGCACTCCTTGTAACGAGTCCGCACTCCTTGTAACGAGTCCGCACTCCTTGTAACGAGTCCGCACTCCTTGTAACGAGTCCGCACTCCTTGTACTGAGTCCGCACTCCTTGTACTGAGTCCGCACTCCTTGTACTGAGTCCGCACTCCTTGACCTGAGTCCGCACTCCTTGTACTGAGTCCGCACTCCTTGTACTGAGTCCGCACTCCTTGTACTGAGTCCGCACTCCTTGTACTGAGTCCGCACTCCTTGTACTGAGTCCGCACTCCTTGTACTGAGTCCGCACTCCTTGTACTGAGTCCGCACTCCTTGTACTGAGTCCGCACTCCTTGTACTGAGTCCGCACTCCTTGTACTGAGTCCGCACTCCTTGTACTGAGTCCGCACTCCTTGTACTGAGTCCGCACTCCTTGTACTGAGTCCGCACTCCTTGTACTGAGTCCGCACTCCTTGTACTGAGTCCGCACCTTGAAACAACATCGTCAGTACAGTTAGACAACCAGTCTTTGTCATGTTGTCGTTCGTACCCCACCCTTTCAAATACCAAGCAACCAATACTTGACCACAACGTTAACCACCTTGAAAACCAAGGTGCTTGCGCAAGCGGTAAGCGCCGATGCCAGTATTTGAAAGTGAAACTAGAGTGGCTTCAGGTGATGCAGGCCGAGAATATCTAAGTGTTTGGTGATTCGGATTCGCATGCCCGTGAGTGTAAGACAGTTGGAGCGGACCGGAGTGGACTGGTGCATGGCGGTGAATAGAGGGACAAAAGACTGCCTAATCGCATTACATATTTCACATCCCTTATTTCACATCCCGTACTCAGATTGCTAACAACACAACCATTTGGCTTGCGCAACAGCGCGAGCTGAAGCGAAAAACCACACTCACCATGACTTTATGTTGCCCGCCGCCATGCATGCCATTTGGGTCCAGCAACCCCCACAGCTCCTCAGGTGGTATACCACCGCCCGTGTCTTCACATGTCACCACCACCATCCACTCGCCCTCCTCCCTCACAGCACACGCCCCCTCCACCCACTCCCTCACCTCCTCCTCCAACCGCCCACCCCCCCCTTGCCTGTCATCTGCACTGTCTACACTGTCTCTGCTGCGCACCTGCCCACACAGCTGCCCATCCTTGTTGCCCACAGGCCCCCCTTGGCTGGCCGGGCAGTGCTGGGGGAGGCAGAGCAGGCGAGTGGGAGGAGGGAAGCGCTGCACACAGCCGGCCAGCTGATGCCACGCTGAGGCTGGTGGGGGCGGCTCAGAGGAGGCTTGCGTGGCGCCTGGGACAGCAGCGGGTGGAGGTGGCGTGCTGGCGACGTGTGGAGGAGGGATGCACAAAACACGGATGGTTATGTGGCCCGTTGCCGTGTTGTTCATGGCACTTGCTGCAGGAGGGAGGGGTGACGTGGGGGGTTGGTGGGGTTGGGAAGGGGTGTGAGAAGGGGGGAGACACAGAAGGGGAAAATCTGGAACGCGTGGAAGAATTTGCAGCTGCTATTAGCAGGCTTTTATGGCATCACTTCCTTCTTTTAGATGTTTTCACCTAAACTACCACGAGAATGCCCTAAAAAGCAGGTGAGGGTAGGGAAATAGGCGGAATACTGTAAGAGAGAGGTAACTTTTTTTTTTTTTTTTTAACCTGTATAGGCACCCGCGCATCGAACCGAATTGGACCAGTCTAACCAATCTAAGTGTAACCCGAACCGGTTTGACTCAAACAACGGGATAAAAAGAAGAGCGCTTTGGTCTGGAGGGACAAAATCAAAATCTAGGCATTGTGTGTTCAACGGTTACTTATGACCCAAAAAGGATGCACCAAACAACTCAGCATGTAGAAAAGATCGATAGATAAATGAAGCAGCCCTTACGTTTCGTGCAGCAAACAACTCACCGACAAGTTCAGCCATGACTTGCAAGATTCGAGTTGGATCGCCGAGTAGCGTTTCTGGAACGCCGTCATCCACATGGACAGTCACTGTATTCAACAAAAACAACGAACGAACACACAGTCAAAAATAAAACCACGATGGACGCAAAGTCTTGAAAGGCAAGGAGAAGGGCGTCTAAGATGCACACATGTACCTGGTAAGTTCTTCCCTGGCGCAAATGTAGTTGCCTCGCTCACGATGCGGCGCAGGCAGCAGGGGAGAGTCTCGAGCTGCAGCCTGCCGGCCTGCAGCTTGGCGAGGTCCAACACTCGGTTGATGAGCTCCACCGTCTCGCCCGCACACGCCCTCGCATCTAACAGGTCGGCCCGCTGCCACTCTTCTAATTGCGACTCTAGCAGCTCCTCTATCATGCCTGATGGGAGGGAAAGGGTGGGGGGAAGAGGGGGGCCTGCAGCTTGGTGAGGTCCAAGAGCTTGGGGGTTTATAAGCTCCACCGTCTCGCCCGCACACGCCCTACCCACCCGCAGGTCCTCATGCTGCCACTCCTCCAACGGCGACTCCAATAGCTCGATCATGCCTGATGGAGAAAAAACAAACATCCCAGTTTGATGAGAGATATGATTGATGGTGGGTCAATTTCTATGTTCTCCTTCGACACAATTGAAGAAATAGAGAGAGGGACTGATGGTATAGCATGCATGCCCTCACGAGGTGACTTTTGAGTCGACTCAAAAGTCACGCCCTCGCCACCTGCAGGTCCTCATACTGCCACTCCTCTAATGTTGAGTCCAACAATTCCTCAATCATGCCAATGGGGGGGGCACGAAGTATGCATGGAAGAATGGAAACAACTTACTGCATGTGCATCATCTGTGACCAATTATCACTTCTTAAGCACTTCCGTTATACAAGGTTGAGTGCATTGTATGCATTTGTGCTCTCAACCACTATGCCATGCTCCAACCGCCATGCCATGCTCTCTCGCATCCACCATGCCATGCCCTCACCCACCCATCATGCCAATGATTGGGGTGCGCAGCTCATGAGAGACGTTGGCCACCGTCTCACTCTTGGCCCGTTCAGCTCTCTCCAACATTGCCGTGAATAACTGAATCTCCCTCACATCCTCCTCTAGGTTCCGCTTCTTCCATGCCAGTACTGCGATCACAGTAGACAGCAGCACTGCCACCAGCAACACCAGCAGGCCCAGCAGCATGGGAGCGTACACGAGGTCCCAGGTAGGAAAGGGAAGCTGAAACCTACACATTTGAAAAGCAGAAGGTATGATAGTAGTAATGGAAAGACGTGGCACCTTTCACTTTGTTCATGCACGTTCTACAGAAAATAATTATTCATAGCAGCAAAGTGATTTGGCAAGTTCAGAGAGGTTAGACTCTAGCAAACACACACACACACGAAAATGTGTGAAACTGTACTAGTACCTCGCTCTTGGGACCAGATCTTACTTGTTACATTGAATAACTTTCAGACAGATACATTGCATGCAGCCTCCCTATGCAGCCTCATACTACTTTTAAAGGGAAAGGGGTGTTCCATCCTTGTAGATTTGCGACAGTGATGAACGAACGACGTTTGCAGGGGCAAGGGTCACCAATTTTGAGGTGATGAACGAACGACGAACCATTGCGCATGCACAATCTCGACGCAGTGAGTTCCAATTTAACATGTCGCAGGGTTCACATTTCCTTTAAGGGTTGTTCCTTCCTGGTAATCAAGGGTTCATAGGCCTGGGCGAATTCCCAGGCCTATGCCGACCATTTAAGGCGGCTCGCCCATTTGAAAGCCACAGTTAGGGTTGAGCCGACAGTCCGACCGGCCCCACACGACCCGATCTGGCTTGACCCGGCCGGGGCCGGGTAGCAAAGGTTACTCAAACCAAATTGAACCCACATCGGTTCGACCCGAACCATGTCAAACCTTTTCCGAAACCCGAACTCGAGAAGGTTCAAATCGAACTGCACAGCATTTGTTCGATCGAACCAAACTCGAGCATGTTCAAATCAGGTCGAACAATCACGTCAGATGTTCGACTTTTGTGGTCAAACTTCAAGCATCCCATTTTCTGCAAGAGTTTGACTCGGGCCTAAGATGTTCGGTCAGAGTTTTGGGGGTATTTAGAAATGTTTGAGCCAAACATGTCAGAGTTCGGCTTCTCCCTCCCTACTCATGACATGACTACTCATGCATACATCTCTACTCATGACATGACTACTCATGCATACATCTCTACTCATGCTTGCAACCCGCATTCTATACATACCCGCAGTGTGCTTCAAATGTGCGTCCAAGCATGTTCTCGGGGAAAGGCTCCACATGATCGGGTGGCACAACCGCAGCCGCAGGCGTGGGCAGCACAAAAGGGAAGGCAGAACCGCTTTCCAATCGTGGCTCATCCGGGCCGTATATCTGCTTCAGCACGCCTGCTTCTGTGTTGTCATACATGGCGAAAGAGTATGTGTTGCTGCCTGTAAAGACGAGACAAAGGAACAAGCAACCAAATGTGAGATTCAGAATGACAGACATGTTGAGCAAGGGGCGAGATAGAGATTCCACGCAAAGGAAGAAAACCACACAGCAAAAGTCGAAGTAGCAATACAGATAAATAATGAATCAACGTTGGGCTTGGCTATTCACACTTCAGACACCTCAAGTGGGATATTGACAGTGGAGGCGGGGCACACAAAGAGGACATTCTGAACTCTAGACACGAGCGACGGTTCGGATCGGACTCGGAATGAGGTTGAGAACTTGTCCAGCTGAACCAATCAAGGCTCATCGGTGTCGAGTTGACTTTTGAGTCGACTCAAAAGTCAACTCCCAACCAAGGCTCATCGGGGTCGAGTTGACTTTTGAGTCGACTCAAAAGTCAACTCCCAACCAAGGCTCATAGGGGTCGAGTTGACTTTTGAGTCGACTCAAAAGTCAACTCCCAACCAAGGCTCATCGGGGTCGACTTGACTTTTGAGTCGACTCAAAAGTCAACTCCCAAGCAAGGCTCATCGGGGTCGAGTTGACTTTTGAGTCGACTCAAAAGTCAACTCCCAACCAAGGCTCATCGGGGTCGAGTTGACTTTTGAGTCGACTCAAAAGTCAACTCCCAACCAAGGCTCATCGGGGTCGAGTTGACTTTTGAGTCGAATCAAAAGTCAACTCCCAAGCAAGGCTCATCGGGGTCGAGTTGACTTTTGAGTCGACTCAAAAGTCAACTCCCAACCAAGGCTCATCGGGGTCGAGTTGACTTTTGAGTCGACTCAAAAGTCAACTCCCAAGCAAGGCTCATCGGTGTCGAGTTGACTTTTGAGTCGACTCAAAAGTCAACTCCCAACCAAGGCTCATCGGGGTCGAGTTGACTTTTGAGTCGACTCAAAAGTCAACTCCCAACCAAGGCTCATCGGGGTCGAGTTGACTTTTGAGTCGACTCAAAAGTCAACTCCCAAGCAAGGCTCATCGGGGTCGAGTTGACTTTTGAGTCGACTCAAAAGTCAGCTCCCAAGCAAGGCTCATCGGGGTCGAGTTGACTTTTGAGTCGACTCAAAAGTCAGCTCCCAAGCAAGGCTCATCGGGGTCGAGTTGACTTTTGAGTCGACTCAAAAGTCAACTCCCAAGCAAGGCTCATCGGGGTCGAGTTGACTTTTGAGTCGACTCAAAAGTCAGCTCCCAACCAAGGCTCATCGGGGTCGAGTTGACTTTTGAGTCGACTCAAAAGTCAACTCCCAACCAAGGCTCATCGGTGTCGAGTTGACTTTTGAGTCGACTCAAAAGTCAGCTCCCAAGCAAGGCTCATCGAGGTCGAGTTGACTTTTGAGTCGACTCAAAAGTTAACTCCCAAGCAAGGCTCATCGGGGTCGAGTTGACTTTTGAGTCGACTCAAAAGTCAGCTCCCAAGCAAGGCTCATCAGGGTCGAGTTGACTTTTGAGTCGACTCAAAAGTCAATTCCCAAGCAAGGCTCATCGGGATCGAGTTGACTTTTGAGTCGACTCAAAAGTCAACTCCCAAGCAAGGCTCATCGGGGTCGAGTTGACTTTTGAGTCGACTCAAAAGTCAGCTCCCAAGCAAGGCTCATCGGGGTCGAGTTGACTTTTGAGTCGACTCAAAAGTCAACTCCCAAGCAAGGCTCATCGGGGTGGAGGGTCGGCCATGACATGAGAGCAAGTCGAGTCGAGTTGAACCGAACTCGGGTTGACCAACCAACCCGCCATTTCGACTCACCATCTGTGTGGATCGACAATTTCGACCAGGCTCAATCAATCTGTGCAGATCGGCACGTTTCGATTCGACCGCAGATCGGCGCAGATCAGTGCTATTCGGCCGTCGATACGTGAGGATAGGTGCATTTCGCCTGCCGATCACCATGATTGGCAATTTTCCCCGCCAAACGCTGTCGTTTGTAATCTCCCGTCTCTTATTCTCTCGACGGGTTTTAGCCAACCAAACCTTGATATCAGCCCGTAGCCTTATTTATTCCTCCCCCGTAGCAGCCCGCACAGCGTCCATTCATCTTGGAATGTCGACACCTCCGAAAGATGTCGATACGTGTAGTAATTATACATTGATTGGTTCCGTGCGTGCATGATGAACCTTGTTGAAGAGATATCCAACTTACCTCATATCCCCCACACGCCCCCCTTCACCCCCACCACTCTAGTCTTGTAGATCCATGCATCTATGGTGGTAATTTAACATTGGGTCGTGGCTCGACCCGACCCGGGCCAAACAACCCGACCCGAGCCGAATAACCCAACCCGGGCCGAATAACCCGACCTGACACGGCTGGCTTGGGGCCGTCGCACTGACCCAACCCAAACCCGACCTGGGCTGACCCTCCTGCCAACCCAACTCACCATTTTCAAGCATGTGTAGTAATTCTCGCGCCCTCCATTCAAGATGCATTACACCGGCCCACACAATGCTTATGCTGTCTCGGATTTGTTGCAAAGTTGCACTGGCTGGCAGCGGATGGCGGAAGATGGGAATGATAAACACTGCAAGGAAGTCGGGTGGGGAGGGAAGGGTGTACTGAATGGTTAAATGGAGGGTCCACTTCCTTCTATCATAAGCGTTTCCCAACTATCTGCACAAATTGTTTCCCGACTTTCTCGTACTAGATGTGGTAAGCGACGGAATGCACGCCCAGCTTGATAGAGAACAAGAGCATTAGTACTGTGGCCATGTTGCAAAACACATGGTCGACGAGACCATGCCTTGCGTTGTAGCCCCAATCCGTAGTGGAGGCTTCACCACGGCCAGGCAAAAGTAAGAACGAAGGGATGAACATGAAGGAAGAGTAGATTACACAACCTGAATATCAAACCACACAGTCGACAACAGAATAGCAAGAGGGGATGACATGACACTTGAAACACCAAGAGAAGCAGGGCACAGAGGAAAGAGGGTGACATGGCACAGAGGAAAGAGGCGCGCACGAACCATTGGCCACGTAGCCGGGTCCAGCAGAGAGAGGCGCGCCCGCGATGGTCTGCCCGCGTAACAGGTTCGTAAGGAGGTCCAGAGGGATGAGAGGTAGGAAGTCGGTGAAGGGCTGTATGGGAAAGTCCGGGTTGATGCTGCCATACACGTTCACTCCGTACAGATCATTCCTTGGGGCGGGCAGGCCCAGCACTGAGCGGATTGGATGCCCTATGATGCTCTCCACCCGGGGCCTGCAGGGGAGGGGGGAGAGAAGCAGTGCCAGTGCGAGCGATGCAATGAGCCCACCGCCACAGCTGCACTGGAAGAGGTCGGCGGGGGCAAACGGCCCAGGACGAGGCCCAGCACAGACTGGATGGGATGCTCGATGATGCTCTCCAGTAGGGGCCTGCAGGGAGGGGAGGGGAGGGCAGGCAGGGCAGTGCAATGAGCCCACTGCCACAGCTGCACTGGAAGAGGTAAGCTGGGCGGCTTGAGCAAACGGCCCGGGACAAGGCCCAGCACTGAGCAGATGGGATGCCCTATGATGCTCTCCAGCAGGAGTCCGCAGGGAGGGGAGAGAGGCAGCGCAATGAGCTGACTGCCACAACCAGGGTGAGGCAAGCAGCACTGGGAGGGAGGGGCTTGAGCAAGCGGGTCGGGACGGGTTGGGATGGATGGGTCGACCCGTTGCTCATGCCTACCTAGGGAGGGATGTCAAGGTTCCCACGACGTGGAGAGCACGACCCGTAGGGTCTGTCTCCTAGGCAGGCCTCAAGGTTCCCTCGGAACGGAAAGGCCTGTCTCCTTGAGAGAGGGCTCCCATAGGGTCCTCATGTGCATATGAGTCATTTGCGCGGCGCGACGTGTACATGTGTTTCTGCAGGGCAGCCCTGCAGCATGTGTTTCTGCGCAAGCAGTGTTGCGAGCGTGGAATCCGTGGATCCGATCCGTGGTGCCGCCAGGCTCGCACAGGAATATCGCTCCCCGCCTCAATTTCTCCCTCGCAGGCTTTGTCTGGAACACTAGCAGATGAGGTTTGACAGGCATGGATTGAATTGGAGAAAGTGGATAAGACCTGCTGGTGGCGTGGCGAGACGAGTCAGCAATCCAGTCCTGACCTGTCTGTCTCGGTGCGTGATGATCGAATCGAAATAATCGGTTGCTCCTTGCATCCGCCTGTCAGACTCCCCAGGTGCCTCAAAAGCCAGCCAGACCTGACTGACCTGTCTTGGTCACTGACGACCATGATGATGGTGTGGTGCCCGTGCTGTAGTTGCCCATTGCATAAGCCTGGCAGGCTTTAGGGTTTAGGATGCCTCATATGCCTCATATGCCTCATATGCCTCATATGCCTCATATGCCTCATATGCCTCATATGCCTCATATGCCTAGAATTGAGACCCCAGCAGATGAACTTTGAAAGGCACGGGAGGAATGGAACCCGAGGATATGGATATGACCTGTCTCTGTCGGTGACGACCATGATGATGGTGCCCGTGCTGTAGTTGCCTATTTTATCCGCGTGCAGGTTGTAATTCAGCATCGACTTGTTGTTCACACACCCCGCCAGCCCCCAGTAGCTCAGGTTGCTGCTGCTGCGCGGCCCAAAGTGCCCCAGGGCGCTTACCAGGCCGATTGCCTCCTGCAGAGTGAGGCGGGGCGGGAGATACGGAGGAGGGGGTGAAAGGGGGGGATGCGGGGATGATGCTGCTGCTGCGCGGGCCAAAGTGCCCTAAGGACCAACCCGATGGCTCCCTGCGGTATGAGGTAGGAGAAAAAAAGGAGGGGGTGAAAAGTGGGGGGTGAGGGTATGTTGCGGCTGCTGCTTGGGCCCACCCAGAGTTCCCCCAAGCGCGGTTACCAGCCCGATTGCCTCATGCAGATTGGGGTATGAGGAGACAGGAAGGAGGGGGAGAGGGGGGGGGGGGGGGGGGGGGGGGGGGGGGTGGGTGGGTGGGTGCAGGGATGTTGCTGCTGCTCCGTGAGCCAAAGTGTCCCCAAGGCGGTTACCAGCCCGATTGCCTCCTGCAGCGTGCGATGGGAGGCGGGAGATGCGGGAGGCGGGACGTGGTGAGCGAGGAGACATGAGAAGGGGAGACCGGAGGGATGGATGGAAGGAGGAACATGGGTATGGGAAGAAACGGGATTGGTCGTCGTGAGAGGGCGTGAAATGGTGCTTGGCGAGGGAAGAGCAAGAAATAGAAGGGCAAGACAAGTGCGGCTCACGCGGATGGGAAGAGCAAGAAATAGAAGGGCAAGACAAGTGCGGTTCACGCGGATGGGAAGAGAAGTGCAGGACGAGTAGCAGAGGTCCTCTCCTCGAAAGTGGTTTGTCGACTGAGAGGTTGGCTAAGTTGGGAGACTGACTTAGCGTTGGATGGAATAAGAGAAGTGCAGTGCAGTCACGTGGATGGGAAGTGCAGTGCAGTGCGAGTACCAGAGGTCCTCTCCTCAAAAGAGGTTTGGCGACTGAGAGGTTGCCTAAGTTGGGAGACTGAGAGTTGGAAAGTGAGCGATGGAAGTGCGAGCACACACTGCTGGAACCGCAAGTGAGGCGTGGGAAGAGGGAACGAAGTAAGAAACAGCGTGATGCAAAGGTGATGGAGGCTGGGGGACTAGTAGTATCAGTGGAGGCGGACGTGGAGAGAGGGAAAAGGGGAGATCACACGAGCGGCGATTGTGGTTGGGTGGGTGGGAAGCACGAAGCCGAGCGAGGGAAAGTAGCAAGCAGGTATGCATTTCTGTATGACGTTTTGTTAGACTACTTGGCCGAATTGGAGGGTTATTCAGACGCGCAGGGAATGGAATGCCTTTTTACCACGCGCAGGGAATGGAATGCCTTTTTACCACGCGCAGGGAATGGAATGCCTTTTTACCACGCGCAGGGAATGGAATGCCTTTTTACCCGTGTGTAAGACTACAGACGTTACATTCTGGAACTGTCGTTCGGGGCGTTAGGTTGTACAGGGCACTGGCAGTGGGCAGTGGGCAGGAAGCGTCACGCCGTCGAAGTGTTGGAGAAAAAGGGGGGGAAGGGAGCAAGCGCGGCCGGAAGCCTTCGGACCTTCAATTTCCGTGATGAGGTAGTACTAAAATGGGCGGTCCGAATGCACGGGCTTGGTAGCCTTGAATCGCCACATGCCATGCTTCTTATGGCGATGGACGAATTGCTTTCTTATGAATGTGGTCGCGAGAGGGGCATCCCGCCGGCCTGATCGCCTAACTGCGCACGTGCCATTGCGATGTGTGCTACTACCTGCGCGCGGGAGATGGACGATCGGATGTCCTGGTGGAGGTATCGCACGCGCGTGCGACACCACGCTCGCATCGCCTCCTGCCGCGGATTGGCGGCCTGCGAGTGCGCGAACCACACCACCCACGCGCACAGCCCCGCCCATCCCGCCACCCACGCCGCCCCCAGCAGCGCCCTCGCCACGCCCGGCGACACGCGGGCCGGCAAGAAATGCGCCAGCGACGACCGCATGCGCGAGGCGACAGCAGGCGACTTTGAGCGACAGGAATGCGACAGCCTAACGTTTGTGGAGCGACAGGAATGCGACAGCCTAACGTTTGTGGAGCGACAGGAGTACGGATCCGTCCCACCTGAGGACGATTTGGGGGGTGTGGGAAACTTGGTTGGGAACGAGTTGTTGCCGAGTGGTTTTCGACTCCTGGCGTTTTCCCGCGAATTGTGATTGGCTTCCGTCACATCTGACAAGTAGAGATCGACTGGTGCAGAGAATTTCTCCCAGGGCCAACATCATAAACATGCAACTTAGTATGGTAACCCTATTCAATGGTATGCAAAAGCGTCTGACCTCAGTCTAGGAGTTATTGACATTCGGCCCTAATAGCGCGTTCGTTTTTAATGCAACAACTGATCTGTACCGCGCTTTCCTTCGCACTAAGACGTAATTTCTTCGGGCCAATAAAAAAATAAAACCCAATCGGAAGGGGATGCGTCAGGGAGGCATCAACCCTAAAAACAATGTCCTTTCACGTGTTTAGGGTTGATCCCTCCCAAAAATGCGTCCAGGTCCCTAGGGGTTTTATTATTTTTTCTGCCCTGCCCTAGCAATTCCCCATAGCAATATATTGGTCCAATACATTGTTATCGAAATCGACCCCACATACTTTCCATTCCACTGGACTTTTCGTGCGCATTTAGCGAAAATAGTGGCCGGCATGAATATTTGTTAAGCGTCGAACAAGGCGCGGTAAGAACGACGAAGATACGAAATAAAAAACGCAACCGATTCTGTCACATATTTCTTCCTTTTTTTGTGCTGCATCCGCTGTTACACAGTGTTTTGAGTGGCGCTACCAGACAATTTTACGCAGCAGAACTAGGGTATCGACGGTTTTGCATACCATTGAATAGGGTTACCATACTAAGTTGCATGTCTATGATGTTGGCCCATTTCTCCCAAGCCCTCCGAGTTGATTCGGGAAATTTGAGCGAACACGCACAGGACACCTAGCGCGTGACGATTTGTTGCAACTTTGTTTCTATTGGCTGTCGGGCCGTCCAAATACATTCCGACGCGCACTCGTTTACAAGAGAAAACTCGTTATCATTCTTCCGGACTCGTTCATTTAATCCTAATTTTTTTTCTGCCCATTATTTAAAACGTGATACTAAGGAGGGATGAACACAACGAATTTCGAAATCATTAATGTCAATAGATACAGCAAAGATACACTAAACTAGCAAAATAAAGAGATAGTGATTAAGCATTTGTGAAAATAGTAGGCACAAGTAGGAGCCATAGCTAGGGTTTACCTAGCTAGGCAAGAGAGGAATGAGCAAAGGAGTAGGTTGCACTAGCAAGCAGGTGGATACAAATAGGAAACCCTAAGGGGCTGTACTCGCTATAGAGTACCCCACTGCAGGCTAGACAAGCATTATATTCTGACACACCCCCATAGTCAAAGTGGGGTATAATCAGTACAGCATGCAGGCATAGAGCAAGAGTTCACAATGATAAGCAAAGCTAGAGGCTATCACAGAGGGCAAGTGAGGAGGAGGAGAGACTGTGGGGGAGAGAAGATGGGAGGCGACTGCTGAAGCTGCAGACACACAGGAGCTGCTGGCTCAGTGGCTACCGAAGCAAAGGCCCGGACTACAGGAGTAACTGGCTCCGCGGAGATTGCAGCCTCCAGACCGGAGCAACTGACCCACAGGCGACTGGCGACTACCGGAGATTGTAGCCTCCGGACTGCTGGTGCTGCTGGCGACACGACTGCTGCCTCCACTCAACCTCCCCCAGCTGCCCCACTCCCCTCTCACACACCCCCTATTCAAACCCTAGCTCCACTCCCACAGCACCCCCCTTAAACCCTAAACCCTAGGCTCCCACACACCCACCCCCCTCAGCGACAGCTGCAGCAGTGGGAGACGAGGGAGGAGGAGGAGCAAGGGGAGGAACACACAACCGCCACCCCCACACCCGGCACCAACACCCCAACCACCGCGAAAAGCACGGGGGGGGGGGGGGGGGGGGGTCGGGGGGGGACGGGACGGGCTGCAAGGACAGGCCGCGGGCTGCCGCAGGGGCGGCTCGCGCTGATCCTGGGGCGGCTGCTGCAGGCGCGGGCTGCTCCAGGGGCGGCTGCTGCAGGTGCGGGCTGCTCCAGGGGTGGCTGCTGCAGGCGCGGGCTGCTCCAGGGGCGGCTGTGTCAGAATATTATGCTCTAGCCTGTAGTGGGGTGCTCTATAGCGAGTACAACCCTTCTAGGGTTTGCTATTTGTATCCTCATTCTTGCTAGTGCAACCCCTTCCCCTTTTGCCTAAACTGTTTCTTGCCTAGCTAGGGCTTTCCTAGCTATGGCGCCTTCTTCTACTGCTTATTTTCACATGGTATCAGAGCGATATGCTCCTGGCCTGTGGGCCCCACCTCACTGCTTCCGCTGCTACTGCTACTCCCTGTCCGCCGCGCGCCCCGTGGTGCGCGGCGTCGAAATTAGGGTTTTTCAGCCCGCCGTGCGCCCCGAGGCGCGCGGCGGTTTTCTGCCCGCCGTGCGCCCCGAGGCGCGCGGCGGTTTTCTGCCCGCCGTGCGCCCCGAGGCGCGCGACGGGTTTCTGCCCCGTCACTCGGCGCGTCGCCCCCAGGAGGCGCTACGACGGGCGACGGGGACCCGCGCGTCGCCCCCCGTCGCCCGTCGTGGCCTGCGCGCGGCCCGTACAGCCGGCGCGCGGCCCGTACGGGCTGCGCCAGGCCCGCGCGCGGCCCGTACGGGCCGCGCCAGGCCCGCGCGCGGCCCGTACGGGCCGCGCCAGGCCCGCGCGCGGCTCGGGCCGCCTGCGCGCGGTTCGGGAGGTTGTGCCAGGCCCGTGGGCGGCCCGTTCTTCGCTGCCCCTGTCCTCCCCGCTGTCCCCCGTGCTTCTGAAGGCGCCCCACCCCTCCTTCTGCCTGTTCTCCTGGATTAGGGTTTGGGGGTGGGGGGTATGGGGGTGCAGCTTCTGTGTGCCGTTCCCTGCTCCTCCTCCTCCTCCGTCTCCCTGTGCTGCAGCTGCCGCTGAAGGGGGGTGGACCTGTTGGAGCCGTCGGAGTGGTACTAAGGGGGGGTGAAGGGGGAGTGGAGCTAGGGGTGAAGCAGGGGGTGTGTGTCAGGGGGGGTGGTACTGTTTGGGGGAGGTTGAACGGAGGTTGCCGTCGTGTCGCCAGCAGCACCTGTAGTCCGGGGAGTTGCTCCGGTAGCCCAGTCGTAGCCACCTGTGCCAGTCGCCCGTGGGTCCGTTGCTCGTCTGCCGCTACTTTTAGCCGCGGGGCCAGTTACTCCAGTAGTCCGGAGCGCTGTTCCGGTAGCCGCTGTGCCAGTGTGCCTCCTGTTGCCCGTGTGTCTGCAGCTTCAGCCGTCGCCTCCTATCTCCTCTCCTCTCATTGTCCCTCCTCCTCCTCACTTGCCCGTTGTGACTACCGCTAGCTTTGCTCATAATTGTGGACTTTAAACTATTGCTTCCTGAACTTGTGCTCAGAATGTGTGGTGACATTGTGATCCACCCTGAGCTTGTTCTGCTTTGCTTGCTCTGCTGATTACACCCCACTTTGGCTATGGGGGTGTGTCAGAATATTATGCTCTAGCCTGTAGTGGGGTGCTCTATAGCGAGTACAACCCTTCTAGGGTTTGCTATTTGTATCCTCATTCTTGCTAGTGCAACCCCTTCCCCTTTTGCCTAAACTGTTTCTTGCCTAGCTAGGGCTTTCCTAGCTATGGCGCCTTCTTCTACTGCTTATTTTCACAGGCTGCTGCGGGTGAAAGGGAGGAGGGAGGGGGGGAAAGAGGAGCGCGGCCCCCAGGGCGCCCCGACGGGCTACGGGAGGGGCCGCGCACGGGCCCACGTGGGCGGCTCGACGGGCAACGGGAGGGGCCGCGCGCAGGCCCCCAAGGCGCCGCGACGAGGCGACGGTTGGGGCCGGCGCGCAGGCCCCCAAAGTGCCGCGACGAGGCGACGGGAGGGGCCTGCGTGCGGGCCCCCAAGGCGCCGCGACGAAACGACGGGAGGGGCCGGCTCGCGGGCCCCCAAAGCGCCGCGACGAGGCGACGGGAGGGGCCTGCGTGCGGGCCCCCAAAGCGCCGCGACGAGGCGACGGGAGGGGCCTGCGTGCGGGCCCCCAAGGCGCCGCGACGAATCAGGAAACCGCCGCGCGCCTCGGGGCGCACGGCGGGCAGAAAACCGCCACGCGCCCCGAGCACGTGGCGGGAAGAAAATCGAAGGTCGCGCGCCACGGGGCGCGCGACACACAGTAGGGCAGCGGAAGTAGGTGGGCCCACAGGCCAGGAGCGTGACCGCTCTGATTCCATGTGAAAATAGTAGGCACAAGTAGGAGCCATAGCTAGGGTTTACCTAGCTAGGCAAGAGAGGAATGACCAAAGGAGTAGGTTGCACTAGCAAGCAGGTGGATACAAATAGGAAACCCTAAGGGGCTGTACTCGCTATAGAGTACCCCACTGCAGGCTAGACAAGCATTATATTCTGACAGCATTTACCGAAATTTTAAACAGTACAACCTAGAATGCTACATTATAACAAATAGAGAAGACAATACACTAAAAAGGTCAAAAGCTTACACAGATACAGATCCAAGAACTACCATTAGTTACAAACTCATCTACACCTACAAAAACAACCCTAAGCTACCACAGGTACTACAGGTCACCCGTAAAGCTCCTCCTGCTCTTCATTCTCATCATAAACCCGTTCCTGCGAGTCTGGCTCGCTCACTAGCTCATCCAGACCAAGGTCACCATGCTCGTCTGCAACCAGCTCCTCCTCTGGAATCTCCTTCCAACCAACGATGCAGACCTTGCCGATCCCAAGGCAGTCGTCCGTGCGAGTGACGTCACTGCTGTTGATCCAGCGCTTTACCACCCGCGCCTGCCTGGCAAGAGCACTAGGATCCCCCGACCGATCCAACTGAGCCTTCGTGGTGCCGGGATGGCGGAACTTGAACCTCACCTGCACGAAGAAGAAAAGCAATC